CGTTCTGCTGGGGCATTTAAGGGTGATAACTCGCTTGAAGTTTATGTGCATTGGTTTAGACTTCTCATTGGAAACTGCAGAACGGTCTCTGATGGATTGGTTGTGGAACTCTTGGGTGAACCCTCTGTAATAGCTCTTTCGAGGTTGCAGCGTATACTCCCTCTTGATTTAGTTTTTCCACCTGCTTTTTCAATATTTGCTTTTGTTATGTGGCGGCCATTCCTTCTTAGCACTAGCTTTGCAGCCCGGGATGATTTTAACCAATCATATCAATCTTTAACAACAGCTATAGGTGATGCTATAAAGCACTCTCCTTTTCGTGATGTGTGTTTGAGAGATAGTCAGGGTTTCTATGATCTTGTAGCTGCAGATGGTAGTGATGCTGAATTTGCAGCCATGCTAGAGTTAAATGGTTCAGACATGCATAAAAAATCCGAGGCTTTTATTCCATTACGTGCAAGGCTTTTTCTAAATGCCATAATGGATTGTAAGATGCCACACTCTTCATTTACACAGGTTGAAGCAAATCAGGTCTCTGGACATGGTGAGTCTAAAGTCCAATTTGCAGAGCGTGAAACAAAGCTTGTAGATAAGCTTGTACATATTTTAGATACCCTGCAACCTGCGAAATTTCATTGGCAGTGGGTAGAGCTTAGGCTCCTTTTGAATGAACAAGCCCTCATTGAAAAACTTAAAGACACTCAAGATGTGTCTTTAGTGGATGCCATTCGGTCGTCATTGCCTAGTCCTGAAAAGGTTGCTGCCTCCGAGAATGAGAAATATTTCATTGAGATCATCCTTACAAGGTTATTAGTCAGACCTGATGCTGCACCCCTTTTCTCGGATGTGGTTCATCTTTTTGGGAGATCACTAGCAGATTCTATGTTGTTGCAGGTCAAATGGTTCCTGGGTGGCTCAGATGTTCTTTATGGACGAAAAACCATTAGACAACGTCTTCTTAATATTGCTGAAAGTAAGGGTCTCTCAATTAAGACCCAATTTTGGAAGCCGTGGGGATGGTGTAGTTATGATGCTGATCCTGTGACAAACAGGGGAGATAAGAGAAAGTTTGAAGTCACCTCCCTTGAAGAGGGTGAGATGGTTGAAGAGGGAACAGACTTGAAAAAGTATGGGAAAGGGGCCACTCAAACATTGGACATTAAAAGCTACAATGTCACTCAGCAGCATGTGACAGAGAGGGCTCTCATTGAATTACTTCTTCCATGTATAGATCAAAGTTCTGATGAGTCACGCAATACATTTGCAAACGATTTGATCAAGCAGTTGGGTAGTATTGAGCAACAAGTTAGTCCAGTTACTCGTGGGACAAATAAGCAAGCAGGACCAACTCCTTCTGGAGTTGAAGGTCCTACAAGCAAAGGAAATAGCCGCAAAGGTATAAGGGGTGGCAGTCCTGGATTAGCTAGGCGTGCAGCAGGAGCAGCTGATTCTGGTCCACCGTCCCCTGCAGCTTTGCGAGCTTCTGTGTCACTTCGGTTGCAGTTGCTCTTAAGATTGCTTCCTATCATTTGCACAGACAGGTAATTGTACAATCTTTTTATGGTGAAGTCTTGAATTGTAATTTTGTTTCCATGAGCATGTGCCTGTTTGTCTTGGTTAGCAGTTGCCTCCCAGGCTGCTGATTGTTTCCATATTAGGGTCACTGAAGCGTGATTATTTGATTACCTTGTTCATCCAATTGTGATTTGAGGGGCAGCTATGGTGTTGCAAGACTTGCTTCTTGAATATCTATTCGGTTCCTTTTTCTTGCTTATGCAGTCTCAATTTCTTTTTCTAAACAATCTAGTTCGACTGCGTATTTAATAACCTGTTTTTTTGATACATTTTGTCTTTTGTAATCGTGTAAGGATGTAAACAGATGTGAATTATGAGTATATTGATGCTTGTATAGGATGCATCAGGTAGTAAAGAAACTGAAATTTCTGTAAGGATGATTATCAGGAGGATAATTTGAGAGCTTTTCTCTTTATGTTCTCTATGCATAGAAATGTTGTAGGGTAAAAGACACTTCAACCCCATAAAACTTGGTACCAAGTTAGCTAAGAGTTTGCTTGTGATGCAATATCCTCTTGACATTCATTAATGATTTCAGTTTGTACTTTATCCTTCAAGAATCCAACTATAACTAAGTAAGAAAGATCTGAAATGAAAAAATACATTTGTTGTTCTATATAGTTAAAAGCAAGAAATTTCCTTTCTTATGCCATTTATAATTTTCTATCACTAAAATATTTGGTGTATTCTCAGGCTCTTCAGTTGCCCCGACTGTTGTAATTTTTGTTATTTTAGCCTAGATATACATGCCTTTTGTAAGATGAAGTTCTTGCTTGGTTTAGTGTAACCTTTTCAACATTTGTATGCGGTATGTGTTGTGATGGTTTTCTCATGATTAGATAATGCTGAATATGTTCACCAGATAGACTAATTTAAACATGTTGGATCTGTCAGGGAGCCATCTGGCCGGAACATGAGGCATGGGCTTGCCTCTGTAGTACTACGTCTTCTAGGAAACCGAGTTGTGTACGAGGGTGCAGACCTATGCTTCAATATCATGCAGAGTACTTTCTCTAAGAGGGATGCAGAGTCTTCAACAGAAGCTGCCTCTGCAGCTTTTGCAGAATTGTCAAATGAAAGTCTCTTTGACCAATTATTGTTCGTTCTGCATGGGCTGTTAAGCAGTTGCCAGCCAAGTTGGTTGAGGTATACTAAGTCAACGATTGAGGGGGGGAAAGATTTAGCTGCATTTGATCGTGAACTGGCAGATAATTTGCAGGTTTGGTCTTCTGTAACCTTCTTCATATCCTCACCCCTACCATGTCCTACAAAAAATAAAAATAGGAAAGAAAAGAAAAGAAGGGAGGGAAGGCAAAGTTTTAAAGTGCTTCTCTTTTGGAAGTAGTAGTGGTATGTTATGAGCTACGTTACAAACTTCTTGTAAGCTTTATTGAACTTACTCTGCACTCCAAGAAAGGAAAAAGAAAGTGCCAAAGTTCTACCACTATATAGAGTGGGTACCGTCAGTTTCAATTTTAGTTTTCATTGTTTCAAAGTCCTTCCCCACTCCCCTCTTTTGAAGTTATGTCAAGTGATGTATATGGCATTATAAGTTTGCATTCCATGAACCTTACTGCATGAATATAGCTGTGTTGGGATTTTCAACAAAATTAATTAAATTAAAAAATATCTGTTTATGTATTGCGTGTCTAGTTGAGTGTTAGTACACTTTTGCCATTGTCTTTTCATTAGTTAATATTGATTTAAGAATTTCAGTTTAGGTAATTGGTTTTCTACCTGTCTTATGTGTACTTGTGAATGCAGAAGGACTTAGATCGTATGCAACTTCCTGAAATTATTCGCTGGCGTATCCAAACTGCAATGCCAGTGGTTATCCCTTCTGTTCAGCGCCTTGTCTCTTGCCAACCACCACCTGTTCCAGATACTGCTTTGGCCGTTCTTCAACCCAGCATATCGGTTTCTGGGTTGCATGCTGGAAGCTCACACCCACCTCAAAGAAATCAGGCTCCTCTGGCGCGGACAGTAACTAACATACCAGGGAAATTTAAACCATTGCCATCACAGGATTATGATATGGATATTGACCCATGGACACTGCTGGAAGATGGTGCAGGTTCAGGCCCATCTTCAAGTAGCAGTGCTTTGATAGGCAGTGCGGACCATGGCAATCTTCGAGCATCTAGCTGGCTCAAGGGGGCAGTGAGGGTGAGACGAAAGGATCTCACATACATTGGTGCTGTGGATGATGACAGCTGAGTTCGAAAGAAAATTTTGTTGTTGATTTTGTCTGGAATGAGAACCCCCTCAGCAGGTAACTTAATGTTTACATTCGCTGTGCATAATTGGTATCAGTATCACCGTGTTGTATGGGTCCATTTCTTTGATGATGGAGAATCTGTTGAGAGGGAATTTTTTGGGGGGGGACGCACAGGGTCCTTTTGGAAGAAATTTGGAGATGTTCTTATTCAGCCCATACAACCGGATCTTGTGGCTGCTTGACTACTAACCCTTCGATCACCCCCCATCCAACTGTGCACCTCCGCATGCTGCTCAGAGGTCTGTTGTATATATAGATGATTTGTTCACTTTACCAATTGATCTGAGTAAGATATCTGCAGAATGATATTTAGCTGTTCTTTTTTCCCCTTATAATCAATCTCTACGTTCTCTCTCTCTCTCTCTCTCTCCCCCACCTCCACATGTACACACAAACGTGTGCCTGCACAAACAAAAAACTCACTTGCATATTACATATTTCCATGTTTATATTGTCTATTGATTATTATACACATTTACATTTATTATATTGTCTGAAAATGGTCCTTTCCCTGTGTGTTGTCGTTGAAGATGGATATGATTTGTTAAATATAATCAAAGAAACAAGGAAATACTGGTAGATGCTAGCAGTGGAAGGGAGAGCACTGCAGTATCAGAAAAACAACCTCACCTGCTGTAGTTTATCGGTCTTGTAGCACTTAATAAGCTTTAGGAATGGTTGAAGCCTCATTTGGATGTCTTGTCCATGTTTAATCTGGTCAGATTGAAAAACAAAGTAGCTTATAGTTTACTTGGGATTTTCAGGAAGTTTGATTCTTCAATTTCAGTTGGTAGTGACTATGCATCGAATTCACGTTCTCTTTCTACTTTATTTAGTTAGTCATCCCAACAGCTGAGACTTATTTTATAGCGGCGTATTTTTCCAGCATTGTCGTTGGTATTATTGGATGGATGTTGTGGGTTTCGTTGTGATGAACGCTTAGTCTGTGCCGTGTATTCTATTCGTATATGTAATGGTGATTTCCTACAGGGATCTCTGCTTGCAAGTTCAAGGTTGCAATGGTGCTGTAGTATTTTTTGTGTATGCTATTTTGACATGATCTTTACTACTTCCCAACGAAAATTACTTTTGCGGTTGAATTTGTTACAATTGCAAGTATAAAGCGTTAATTGTGCGATGCTGCTGTCAATCTTGTGAACGAAATGTTATCGGATTTCTTTTCTTGATATGGTAGAAATGGTTTCGCGGTCTAGCTCTGTCTCCGATAATCTTATTGGAAAGAGTCTCCATCCACGGTTCATGTCCGCTGCCGAGTTTTCTCCCGGCAGGAATATGTAAAAGTCCTCGTAACCGGGGCAGCACCCAAGACTCCGGTTCGTTTCTTTTTTGTGTTTCATTGCAAGCTTCATGAAATGGAGGATTTGTTTTACTGGATGCCAATGTACTAAAAAATAGCTTAAAATACAAGTAAATAAGCAGCCAACGTTAAATTGTTTCAAAATTCGTTGATTCAAGCCGTAGATTTGATAAGAATGGTTGAACTCGGTTGCATCGTGGTCTCTCTATTTGTCTTGGTTTCTCACGGATCTCTCGACACAAATTACATCGTCAATCCAAGCAACAATGTTGAATGCCAAACTCTCCAACACTCTCGAGTAGCTCTCCAGTACTGATTGCCCCACATCCTGCAAAACCCGCCGATAAGAAACACTTCGATTAATTAGTCAAAATTTTACCCGTGCTCCAAGTGATGGCGTTTTACTCGTTTTCTGACGAGATATTTTCATGTTATCTGTCCCGTTTGGTGAACTAATTTGAAGTCCGTCGACTATGTTTTGTGTGATTTAAATGGATTTATTGACAGTGTGAGTGCTTACCTTATTGCATTGGATTTTGCAAGTATCCAAGGATGTCTGAGAGAGCTCAGGATATCTCTGCTTCAGACACAACAGCAAACACTCGGCTCTCTCCGCCAAAACATGATTCTTGTCGTTCCTGTCTGTTTCCGACATTAGATCTTTTACCATGGTCCATGAAGATTTTGAGTTGCTCATGCACGCTTTACGTCTCCACGTGTACATCGAAGCTTCGACCCTGTCTGCAAGATCAAGTGCTTCGTGTTCAGTTGCTATGTTGAGGCAGTCCAGAAGGTGGTCTGGAGAGAACTTGTCTGTGGTGCACATGTAGCGGTATATGGAGTCTCCAAGACAAGCTCTTCCACTCTGAGAAACAAATTGTTTTGTACAAGAGGAGAAAAGCCAAGTTAGATATAACCTACTACTTTACACGTAACAAAACGAACTAGGGTAGAAGAAGAAGTGATTTCCGCACACTTGTTTTCTCATATGCGTACTCGTATTGATTTTTGACTTTTAAATTGAATGAATCAAAGGGAAATTAGGAGATCAAAAACAAAGAGGGGCGGACAAAAGGATAAAAGAGTGCAGAAATTATTTCCCTAGCTTTCTAGCATTAATTGGATGATATTCTTCCAATATTACTCTTATAGAATTAAATATTGACACACCAACTTCAAGTCAAAAAGGTTTCATGTTCAAATTTGGGGTGTCGCCTGATCAACAAAAGAATCGAAATACCTTCTTCTGTTTTGACAATGTAATTTGATTTTCGGACTCAACGCATCACCCGAAATTTGTGGGACTTGCATTTTATTTTTCGTGTGAACATGCACGCCCCCATTTTAATTGTTCGTTTCAGACCCCGAAAATCTCAGGCGCGTCCTTGTGTCTGAGGAGTCTAGGGGTTTTCGAAACCATAACAATATTTATGTTAGTTGATTGAGGACTTTACCTTTGGAAGAGTTGACATGTATGAGTCTGGGATTTCCATCTCAGCAAGAATACTGCTATTGATTGCCATGGCTGCTTTGTGGATTTGATTAGAACTGTCACGTTTGTGTTTCAAATGTTTCCTTGCCTTCTCAGAGAGGCCTCCCGGAGGAACACATGGAACCGGCAACCACCATTTCTCCTCATTCCGCTGAACAACCACCCTTCTAAATGATCCTGTACGCGTTGAATTGGATGACATGCTCCCTTTTTCTGCATACCAGAATTCGGTATCCTGGAAACTATCAAGTACTTCCTGCCAAAAGAAAAAATTCACGTACTTTCAGGGCTTGATTGAATAACCAAGGGTTTAAATAATATGCCATTTTTTAGTGCACAAGGCAAGTCTTACAATAAGCATTGCGTCAAGCTTTTGCAAAGCTGGAAGGTTGATATAAAGATCAGATCTTGGCCTGCTTTTCATGAACTGAAAAACCAATAAACTTTATGTTAAAAACAGGCAAAGATAGCAGACTCTAATCGAACAAAAGACGGGTTTTCAACAACCACCTCCACTTCTGTCCCATCTTGTAAGTTTTGTGATATGGGGATAAGTTCTACGATGTAATCACAAACTGATAGAAGACAGTTCATCTCCCTCTTCCACATGGCTTTCTTCTCAGGATTCAGTGGCTCCAGCCTCAAGTTTTGTCCAAACACAGTGGCTGCGGAATATCCCAAAAGTTGACCCGTTGAAATTGAAATCGACAAATCAACATGTTTACTTCATAATCATATGCATCTTCAAAATTTGAAGATAGAGAAATTTACCGTAGAGGTTGGTTATCGAATTTGATATTGTGACCGCGGTGCACACACCTTTCCCACTTCCTGACATGTCTTCACCCAACAAGAGCTTTGCAAATCGTTCTTTCATCATCTCAAGCTCTGCCAATTTCATACAGAGTTACTTATTACTGCTTTTAAATTGTTATTTCCAGCGGGAAGTGATTTCCGCACACGTTTTTACTCCTTCTGCAGACCTCTCTTTATTTCCGTTTCCTCCGATTTATTCAATCCAAAGGCCATAAAAAAGGAAGGTGCGCAGAAATCATTTCCTTATTTATAAACAAAACTATTGAAACCTACCTGAATCAACTGCGTCGTCATCTTGAAGTGTTTCATCAGAGGCATTCTTGTTATGCAGCTTCATTCCAAGTCTGGTAAGAGACGCCTGGTTGGATTTTACATTTGGGTAGAACCAAGGAGAAGCTTCACCAGAGTAGCTGCTGTCATCCACAGACTCAGAGAAAACCGAGGTCTCTGAATTTGTCCGGCGGTACATAAAAGAATCACCACTTGTTGAAGTTTCCGCAAGCGAATGATCAGTTTGATCCACAGAAGAAGGTGAAGGCTGGTAACCCAGATCATATTGTTCATCATAACTTGGTGAATTGTCCATTGCAGCTCTAAAACTTGTGGTCTAAGTCTAAAATCTCAAAAACCTGCAAATACAAGTCATTTAACGAAAGTTACAATTTGGGTTTGTGGTAGGATTCAAAATCCAAAAAAGAAACCTGGGAATTGGTTTATATTCTACAATTTAGATTCAGAAAGACAAATCTATGAACACAAACAAACAAAAAGAAGAAAAAGTACGAATTTTTTTATGCTTTGAAGAAAAAGCAAAAGAGGTTTGTCATGCGTTTTTTTCATCAGAGGACCAAAATGAATTATTGACTGATATACAGCTAAAACTAAAAGCAAAAAAGCAATCTTGGAGGGATTTTTTAGGCGTGAAAAACCAACTGAAAACTGAAAATTATTTAAAAGCAAACGGTCGATTGAAAAAAGCAAATGGTATATTGTAACAGTCTTTATTTTTACCTTTTAATGCATGGAATTTGAATTTGAACTGTTGAAGTTGGCCGACAACCGTTTGAAGTCGTTCCCTCCTGATCTTCAAACACTTTTGTCTTCTCTTTCTAAAAGAAGAGATTTCCCAGAAATGAACAATGTAACATTTTTGCCGTCCGATCGTCGAGTTCTTGAGTGATGAATTAAACAGCAAAAACCAGAAGAAAAAATGGTTGAATTTCAGACAGGTGGACAGCACCTTAGTTGGACATGAACGTAAGGGGCAGGGTTATATATATGAATCTGAATATATGAAATATAATACAAACTTTAGAAGGGAAAAAATAATAATTTGGAAACAGTTTGGCAGGTTAAGTTGAAAACTAAATTGTAATTTTAATAAGGAAATCTTTATGTATGTTAACATTTGTATTGACTAATCAATATTCCCTTGTGATATAGAACCAAAAATAAATAAAAATATTCATATGATGTGTGGTTATGATGCGTTTTTGAATCACAAGTAGCCACATTTATGGGTCACATTTGTTAATTGTGCTCAATTATCTCCATCAACTCCCCATCAACCTTAATCAACTTCCGTCATGCCATAATCACCTCCATCTGCCTTGTTTTTAGTTATTTGATTTTTATTCTTGTAATTTCCATTTTATTGACATTTACTTGTATAAATTGGTGATTTATTCGGTGTATAATACTTATTTATCATAAGAGGTTTGTGATTCATACTTTTTTTTTTAATATTAATATACATTAAAGGGAGGCAGAGGGTTTGAACTCAAGATGTAGTGAGATGAAGAGGAAAGCCCTATCTTCCTAAACAATCCATTACTTACTTGTGACTCGTTGATTATCATAGCATTTTCCATTACACACCTAAGGTTCGATTCCTCCCCTCCATTATCGTTGGTGGGGAAAAAAAGAAGAAAAAAGAACACTACTTATGACTTAAGACCAAAAATATAAAATAAAAAGTAAAATAGAACATGGGGATCTCAGTTGCATGTTTGTGAATTTAATATGAAATATATTAGTTAGCCTGGTCGGAGGTTAGATTAGAAAGCATGTGTACAACTTTTTATTAAGCCCTTCCTAACTTTATATTATTGGACCACCCGAAAAACTAAAGACTTGAATATTTAAAGCAAAATTCAGCTTCCGAAAAGTGTTGTATAGACGTGCCTCCCATATATCCATTTGTTGCAGAACTTTGTTACAACTTGGTCTTCATTCAATTAAACAGAATTTATTGATCATTACATATAATTCAATTAAAATATTGTATGAAAGTATGGTTTATTCTATTCTCTTTTGATTTAAGAATTGAAGGATTTTTTTATTGGGTGAGTTCAAATCAAAGAAAGTTTTTTGGTCCATCTCATTTTCTTTTTATTCATTTTTCTTTTCTATGAATAATAACATATTTATAATAATAAAATACTAAAAAACTCAATTTATTAATAACTCAATCAAAATAAATAAAATACAATTATCCTCAAAAACAAAATGTTTGTTATGCTTAATATATTAATGCTTCGTGCTTTGGACGCATGATAAGGTTGACAATAATTATACTTAAGGAGGTCAAACAATCCCCCCCCCTTAATTAATCAATGCATGAATTTGACTCTCTATGTGTTGATCTTGTACTCTTGTTGCCTGCATTGTTGCCTTTGTACTTGGAACCAGTAAGGCCTCGTTTGGCAGCTCGGACTGTACTGACTATTTCTGTCGGATAGGATAAATAGTCACTGGATAGTACTGACTAAATTAGTCGGACGTTTGATGCAGTATCGGACTAATTACCGTATTATTTATACTGTGTTTGGTTTTATACCGGATATGATAAAAAAAAGAAAAATAATGATAGAATAATCCACAAAGGGCACTGCCTTTAATTTTTCGTTCATCTTCGGCATAAAACCCTTTTTGGTTGATCTTCTGCAGACAACATGGATCTGTTAAAGGTATGTTTTACGACAAATTGAGGCACTGTGAAGGTGCGGCTTCAAGTGAAGACGAAGGTCCAGCCATGTCGACAAGGATTTACTGAGCTTTTGGCTCTTGAAGTTTTCCGGGAATCGATGAGATCTGCGATTCCGGCGAAATGGCAGTTGCAGGTCGTTGGGTTTCAGATCTTGTTAACCAAATCTATTAATTGGATTTCCAACACTCAGTAATTTCACAGAATTTTATAGAAATTATGGAGTTCTAAAACTTATTTTGAAGGGATCTATAACTTCCCCAATAATTTAGGGCAGAGCAGAGCAAAGTAGAAGAAGAACGACGACGGATGAACAATGACAACAAGAATGAGTCTTGCGAACGATGTGAGAGAGAAGAACGCGACGAGTAAGGGACAGAGAGGGAGAGAGCGAGCTTTGTTTCTCACCCGACTAATAATCCTTAGGTTTTAGGGAGGATAAATTAACAGGTGTGTACCGTATAAATCATGTGGGGCCGATATAATTAATCCGGGTGCTATTTAGTACGTAACAACGCCAAACACTCGGGCCCGTATTATTTATCCTATCCGATTCTTTATACGGGCTGCCAAACATATTTATAATAATAAAATACTAAAAAACTCAATTTATTAATAACTCAATCAAAATAAATAAAATACAATTATCCTCAAAAACAAAATGTTTGTTATGCTTAATATATTAATGCTTCGTGCTTTGGACGCATGATAAGGTTGACAATAATTATACTTAAGGAGGTCAAACAATTCCCCCCCCTTAATTAATCAATGCATGAATTTGACTCTCTATGTGTTGATCTTGTACTCTTGTTGCCTGCATTGTTGCCTTTGTACTTGGAACCAGTAAATGAGCTATACATTCATATGCTTGTAGCGCTCAAGTGTTGTTCGGCCTACTCCGCGATATAATCTCATGATATTCGAATCGTTTTATGATTGTTGACCCTAAAAACTACCAAACCTACGTGGCGCGCAGGTCGAGTAATCTATGAGCTAACTACGTCCTTCGGTTGTGTGCGGGGCGTGCCAACTTATCGGCCGAGCTCGGCTGAGGAGTAAAATATGCTGATGTTGTGTTGAGTGCGCGGCCGACTTCTGCGTCTTGCGATTGAGACCGAGGAAGGAACACGTCTCGGCCTCTTGGGTTCTCGAACCTGAAGACAAGGCTAATATTCTTACAAAGTTCACAAATCGTCGTTGTCGGATTCAGTCACAGTGATGGTATTCGTCAGAATAAACTCACGCCGAATCGACACCAAAGTGTAAGGGCACAAATACTCAAAGCGGATATATGTTTTAACAATAAACGTGGTTCGGCCGTCGGAATGCCGAACTCTAAATCTCACTTGAGAGTATCCAATCATAAACTAACTCGGTGTGCAACTGCAGAGCCTAATAAACTGTAACACCTCACTTCGCCGAGCAAGCTAATGAGATGACCTCGACCAATAAGGATTCGGAAATCCTTTTTGATCGAGACTTGGATAGATAACCAGTCACCCTCGACGCTGTGCTATCTATGCCGACTGAAGATGCTGCGAGACCGGCTGGTTCTATGGTGACAGTGTTATCTATGCCGACTGAAGATATCACTGGTTGCCTTCACAATGCTGTTTATCAAAACTTAAGGTGTGTCGGCGAAAAAAGAAAAGGAAAAATCTCAAGGTTGTCGAGAGAATTTGCGCAGGGCAGTTGTGTGTTGAATTGAAGGGGATTGTTTCGATGTCTTTTCTCCCTATTTATAGCAGTCAACCTGTATTGAATCCTATTCATTCCTGGATTAGAACTCCTTCTCATAATCCATCTTTATCTCGACTAATCCTATTCCTACTAGGACTTTAAACACAACTCATTATCAAATCGTGTTCAATCTCAACATCCTGATCCCGTCGAGACTCCCTCTCATAACAGGATTCGTCCACATTCCTTTTTCCAATAGGATATGATCCACTTCGAGCGCTCGGCCCATGGGCTGAATAACTTATGGGCTGAGGATGAATCTATCCTCGGCTTATCCCATTCTGGGTCAAAACAGATCTAACTCGGCCCAAAACAGTATTTTTGGGCCCAAACAATGATTTATTTGAGAGTTTGTTGTTAGAACCTAGCCTTCTGAGGAAGCCAAGAGTAGGAGTTGCCAAAGGGGGGAGAGGAAAGAGAAGCACTAATGTTTTTCCTCCTCCCCTTCCTCTTTTCATTTTCTAGTCGAGTGTGGTGAATAGTAGTCCATTTTTGTTGACTTAGTCTTTATCTAAGTGAGTTTTAATATCACTTTCTTTTTTGTTTCTTTTATACTCTTGATCCTTCTCTCAAAATTCTTCCACTCAATTTTATAATTTTCTCTTCTAAATCTAATGTCACCCTGCTTATGAAGTTGGATGTAATCCGCCTCTTGTTCTACAGTTACTCACTGACCAAATTTGTATGGTTTGATGGTGGCGCATGTTCAGGCTGTGATTCTCATTGTTACAACCTGTACCTTAAAATAATGTATTTTATTTTCAAACTATGTGAGATGACAATTTTCCCTTGAGTGGGTGTTTTGAGTAATTTTTTAGTCTTGACTCAAAATTCAATTTCTTATACTTTTTAAGGTCTTCCTAACTATATTCATGTATGTGAATGTGAAATCGAAACGAAACCCTGATGACGTAATTGTAAAATTTTTAACTTTGGAGGGTAGACTCATAATTTAACTTTAAATATTTTTAGAGGTGTGATATCTACTCACACTTTTTTACTTCTCACACACATTTCTAATTTTCGGCTGTCAGATCGGATGAATTGAAGACAATCAACAGACAAAAATTAACAAGGGTGTGTGAGAAGTAAAATATCCACGCAGCCCTATTTTTAAAGTGGGATTATACCCACTCTCGGTCCCTTTCTTCCCCTAACTGATGTTTCTGGACTGTTGGCATGTGTTTGTAGCGAAAATCAAGTCAGAGAGGCTTTGTAAATCTTACATGTGTTCTCACTGTGTTGCCCAGTTCCCGGCAAGCTAGTTCGAAGGGAAGTTGGCAAATCCAAGGTGGATTCAGTCTCCCATTGTCCTAAACGGTATTAGGTGAGCTCCAAGGTATTTTAACTACGTTTTATGTAATTTTGGAGAAAAAAAATGTGTTGAAATCAAGCTCAGGGGAAGCCTTGACCTTTATCTTCATTTTCTGCAATTTCTGGCTATATTCCGGCAATGACAGGAGAGGTCAACGGTAGGATTAATAGTGACGTTAGCAAATCCATTAGACTTAGGCCTGGTTTGGTACTGAGGTGATTCTGAAAAAAACTGGTATAAAAAAAAGCTGGGAGCTGTTTTTGTGTTTGGTAAACATTCAGCTTCAGCTTTTTTTCACAGTTTTGGGTGAAAAAAAGCCAAAAACAAGAAGCTGCAAAACCTAGCTTTGAAAAATCGATTTTTTTTCACATCTGTTTTACATAAAAGTTTACCAAACACTATAATACTGATTTTTTTTTTCAAAAGCACTTTTACAAAAAAGTTTACCAAACACTCTGCTACTTTATTTCACAGCTGCTTATTCTTATAGCACAGCAGAAACAACTTTTTTCCAAAGCACAGCAATACCAAACCAGCCCTTAATGGAATCTTCTAACGGTAGAGATATATTCCGATATCCCTTTAAACATTTTATGACAACTAGCGCGTGGTACTGGCGACAACGAGTGTGGCGTCTACTCGTCGAACCGTAATGGCAAGTACAGCAGCTATCCCATGGTGGCGCGATTTCCCAGCGATGACACTGCCGCGGAGGCTCGCGGTGGCGTGTGGCCAGAGAATGGCAACAGGGGTAGGACTTGAGACCTATCATAGGGATTTTTGGTGTTCTGAATCACGTGGCGCCCTCCGTTTGAAAATTCGATGTTTAAATAGTAGTTTTAGACAATTTTCCATAGAATGTCTTTAAAGCTTATTTTTAGCTTTATTCACATGCTTATTAGAGGTTAAAAGGATTAGACAAAGAGCCTAATAAGGAAGGACTCTCTACTTACCTGTGAGTGAATCCTTTCGAAAACTTGACATTTTAAATTATTATTATATATGTTGATGCATATTACTATTATTGATAGTCTTTGAGGAGACTTATATCTAAATGATATCTTGAGACTATTGGTGATTTATTTTCACCACATGGTCATCCCACATGTATAGCAGCTACGACCGTAGGTTTATTTCAAGTACTTATATTTCTAGTACAGGCTAGATTCGCTAGCACACGCTAGTCATCGATCAGGTAGATGTCATTTCACCTGCTTGCTATACATTTGATTTACTTTGATTGTGTGAATGTAAATACTTTCTTTGATAAGATGAGTGATGTAATATGAATCTGATCATTGTTATGGTAGTATTATAAGTATGTAGTTTTTGACTATATAAGTGATTTCAAAATGGGGGTTATTACTTTGAAATAATCTTTAACTAGATAAACTTGATCCACTTACCCTTTGTTTTCGACTTCTTAGGATGTAGCAGGAATAAAGAAAACTTCGACAGTGACGAGTGGGCATGGCAGTGAGGTGTTCATGAACATACTTTCGATTATGCATGGCATTGCACTACTTTGTGTTTATTGTTGTATGAAACTACCATCAGTTCTGGAGTGATGTGATAATAATGGGATTGTATCCCTGAACATTTCCCCAGTTGGGGAGGTTGATTAGGAACACTTTGTAGTTGCTTTTGTTAATGAAAAATGAACTATTTGGTTCAAACTCTTTCACATCATAATTATCTTACTATGACTTTCGTTATTAAGTTGGCTTGTGACTTCATCTCATGATGGGGCCATATGGTCAATATAGTGGTGGCTAGCACATCATGGCCTCATAACTTGTGTTATTAAGATCAGGGTGTGTCACTCATGATTTAGAATTTTTAGTTTTTTAGTAGGTGTTTTTGGGTAGTGTAGGTTTGGCAAAAGATTGGGCTTACTTTTCATGATGTGGGTTTTTTATTTGTTAGTTCGGCTTTTGTATATGTTAGATTTCAATATGATCCTCTTTGGATTCTTTTGGTGAGGATTATAGAGATTCGTGAATCGTATTTGTTTATCATGCGATTAGTTTTTGTCAAGTACTGTTTGTGTTTAATTTTAAATAAAAATTTTAAATAATTTCTGACCGCACGTGTACGATGAACGAACAAAATTAAGGGATTTCTAGTATCCTCACAAAGAGAATCCAGCGAAGATCCGGATTCTGTTAGATTTGCTCATTCGTTTGTATCTGTTTTTTTAAATGTCATATATAGTAGAGATGGAGTGGTCTATTATGATACAACTCGTACTTTCGTTGATCATTGTCTGTGCATAGCCTCCATTATAGCAGTTACTATTGGCTTCTTTATAGTTTCTTTTAATAGTAGACGCTGTTTGTATTCAAAGAATGTTTCTTCACTAGCTTTATTTGATGGTTTTACGTGCAAAATCTATCATGCGGTGCGTTATGAATTGAATGAATTTCTAATTGTCAGGATGGAAGTTCTTTTGATTTTGGATTGTGACTTGTGTTCCTAAACTGCTTCTAGTGCTTGTCAAGCCCACATATCCACCAGTATGGTGACTATTACGTTCCCCAAGTTGACCTTATTTTTTGCTTTTAAGTCCTTTTGATTTGAAGACTCCACAAATTTAATCCATGATGCATTCTTTTAAGTTCGCAAATTTTATTAACCTTATATTTAAGCCGCTATTGTTTTACCTAAAAAAATGTAATCTTTTATATAAAAATTCTCCCAAATGTAACATGCATTTTTTGCCATTTAATTATGATTTAGGTTTCAAGTGTATGTAAATCTCTATGTATAGTTTCTTAATCTTGACGATGTATCATACGTTAAGTTATCAAAATAACAATTATCACATAAGTTACATCTAGTGATATATTACTTAAATATTGTATTGGCAGAATTGTTTTAAGTGTGAAGAGATTGCATTGTTTCGTCATTTTCTTTTCTTAATAAAAAACAAACAATGAATCTTATTTTTTTTTTTTTTGAAGTGATAACGTGCCAATATAAAGAAAAAGAATACTGATTTCCATACATAGTTCACCTTTACCAGACTAAAAAAAGAAAGCATGATACTCATGATTAAGACCCTGTGATTCCCTAATTATGCTTCTACTTACTTTTAGAACCCGTTCTATGACAAAACAAAAACCTCCACCATAAAATTCTCCATAAGTTGGCAATGCTCCTACAGATTGATCCTCTTGGTTTAATTGTGTCCTCTGCGGAGAATTCCCTTGTCTCTACCACCTGCCTTTCTTTCTGCATATTTAGTATACAGTCATCATGCAACATGTTTGGCATTGAAAAATAAAAAATTTGACTTATAAACTTGAGAAATGTTCTCTTGTTGGTACAATCTAACATGTTACATTGCTAGACTGAAACATAATTCTGAGTTGTTAAATCTAGTTTCAATGCGTGATTATATTGAATTCATTAAGCACAAAATGTAAGTATATACGTACATTTGCAGTAAATCGGAATCCAATCCTTATCTCTCCTTTATAGGTGTCATCTTCAAGCACCACATTGTATGGAAGTGGTTTTAATTCAATGAAACCGCTGTCCCTTCCCACAGTAACTATACCACCAAGATGAATCCTGCATAGCAGAAATTAAAGCTAATTATTGGGACGAAGAGAAATATTAATGTTTATCAGAAAATGAGATTTATGAAAAGCATGTACATAATTTAGGTAAAAAAAGAGAGATAATTAGGCATTTAAGTACATGGTTTCACCAACAAATCCCGCATCTGTGAATAATTCAGTGTCCATAATTCTGAGTTTGAGATGAGTCAGCTTCTTCCAATTTGACAAGGGAAATTTAAACGTGATTTTTTCATTCCAGCTAACCTTTTCATCTTCACCTGCATGCATCACACAACCCATTTAATCAATTAGCCAAAGGATGGTATATATATGTGTGTGTGTGCATATATATGCTATATATACATGCATATGTCTCCAAATGGGAGTCCAGATCTGGAGAGGAAACAAATTTAAGACATACCTGATGACTGTTTGCTTCTATATTCTTGATTTCCACACTTTATGATCACGTAGTAGGATGGTCTACCTGTAACAGTAATTGAGTGCAATGTGACTAATGAGATAAATAATATTCAAGAAATTAATTCGAAAAGCAAAAAAAAAAAAAAAAAAAAAAGTACGAAAAATAGGACATCATTGTATAAATATTGAGGTTCTTTTAAATTTTGACATAGATTTTCAGGTACACATTGTTTTGATCTATAGTAAAAATAAGTGAGATCCACTTTTGTGTGATAAGTCCCTCCTGAATTTTACTAGATCTTAGCACGTACTAAACATAAAGGGAAATTGCTCCTTTCAAGAAGGGTGAAGGGGTTAAATTTGGATTTAATCATATAACCATAGCTTACCAAGAAGATTTGTGTGCCTAATGCCTTCAGCATCAACAAGAAGCACTTCAAGGGTTCCTACTTTCATGTATGGCTGCATGTTGGCATTCACTCACATTTCACAGAAGGTACCTGTATATGCATGGTATATATAATGCTAATAGAAAATGAAACCAATGGTGCATGTCAGGTTCACTAATTAACTGGACGTTTAAAGGAGTAAATTTGAGCGTGTTTTGGTTTAATGAAAGGCTTATACACGTTTCATGTCATTTAATAAAACCATATATGTTTTTTCTGGTATTAATGGAAAAAAATATGGAGTGAATCGTAGCGGTATTTGTTTTCACTTAGTTGGAGAAGGTCTTATGTTTCATTCGTATAAATGATGAAGATGATATATATTTTTGATGAGTTTAATTTTAACTACGATTAGACAATTATGAGTTTATTTCCTCCAATGTAACAACAAACAAAGCTTCGAACCATATAACTTGAAAAAAAGACTTGTAACTCAAGTAATTGCAAGTATTTATTCCTGCAACTGAAGAAGGTTTGATTTCTACATCCCCACTATGCTTTCCATGTCAAATCTGATGGGTTCTGCGCGATTTGGGCTCATTATGGGCCTAAGCCTAACAAGTCCCAAGAAAATAAAGTGTAGCTTTTGCCCTTGAAAAAAAAAAAACAAAAAAAACAAAAAAATGCTCAAATACTTCCTCAGTTTAATTATGAGCACAAAATTGCATGTGGCCATTTACCACAACGGTGAAATAGAGTTGAGCATTTGTACGATGAAGTGGATTTGAACTTTGTTGGTGGCTAATCTAACATCTAATCTAACAAAATCTATCGTTTGACCAAAAAAAAAAATTATGAGCACAAAATCTACAACATTATAGCCTAGTGGGATTTCCTACATGATATAAGCAATGTTTAAAATTTCTTGGGTAAAGTACAAAAAATTACCTCAACTATTGGTCTCACAACACTTTCATACCTCATCTTTTTAAAATGACAATGTCATATCTCATCTTACAAATTTGTCTCATACCTTCGTCAATTTTTCTGTTAGTTTCTCTGTTAAGTGCTGACATGGCTAGATACGGGGTCACTCACTAATCCAACTGGATTAAAATATAATTAAATATATTTTTATAATTAAAAATTAAAAATTAAAAAAAAATTATATTAAATCTCTCTCTCTCTAGCCTCTCTCCTCTCTCTCTCCCCCTTTCTCTCGCCTTTCTCTTCTTTGCATCCCCAAAGCCCCTTCCCACCCGACCCCCCCATCCCCTTCCCACCCGTCCCCCTCAACCTACCTTCATCACCTTCTCTCTCCTATCTCTCTCTTGCATCTCCCTCTTCTCTCCACCGTAGTCTCCTTCCTCCTCACTTCTCTCTCTCTCGCTGTGCCCAGAACCCCCCCCAAACCCACCTGGATTTTTTCATCCACCCTCTTTTGTCGGATCTACCTGCAAGCTCCAACCCGCTTCCCTCTCCCACTCCATGGCCCACCACCGATCTGCAGTTGTTGCCGTCTCCGAAGCTGTCAAGGAGAAAGGGAGAGAGAGAGAGAGCTGTCAAGGTCGGCGCCGACGAGGTTGCCGTCTTCCCCCAACCCAAACCCAGATCCCACCCCAAACCAGCCACTCCCAGTCCCACCAGGTGCCTTTCTTCTCTTCCTCCGCCGCTCTCTCTATTTCTAACCTACAAGCATGCATAAAAAACAAAGCACCCACCAATCATGAGAACACACCATTAACAAAAGTTCAAAAATCCATCTTCCAGTTTACCTCACTTTTCTAAGAAAATGGAACCTTCAAAATATAAAAAAAAATCATTTCCTTTCTCCCACATTTTCTGAGCAACCAAACAAAGCAAAACCATTCAATTTTTCCCAAAAAAAAAAAACCCAAGTTATATTCACAAGAGACTCGGCAGCGGTGGTGGGCTCAGGATTGTTGCTGCGTGTTGCTGGGCTTGAAGATGGTGCTGGGCTATGGGAGTAAAGGGAGGTGGCAGAGGCGATCCTCAACTTCTGCAAACCCGACGACGAAGTTGATTACTTGGTAATCGTGGGGCGACAAGGCTGTCAAGGATTCGCAGAAGTATTCGAACCCATATGGGTAATTTGGCAAGGAAGGGGAGGAGATCAATGGAGGGAGTGGGTACCCGGAGAAGGGTGCGGTTGGTGTGCCTGAGATTGGCGACTTTGATGTCGTCAGTTAGAATGGGGAAGAAGGTGATAGTCGTTGGTGGATGGAGTTGACGATGAAGAGGAGAGAAGGGAGGGTAAGTGCGAGTTGCAGATGAGAGAAATGTGGGTGGGGTTGCAGATGAGAGAAGAGAGAAAGGGGGTGGATTGGATTTGGGGAAGATGGGAGGGGGAAAGGGGGTGGGTCCCCATGTAAAAAAAATAAATGATTTTAATTTTTTTAGTTTTTAATAATTAATTAATTTTTTAATATTTTATTAATTTATTTAAGCCTCGTCACTATTTAAGCCAAGCCACGCCATCACTTAACAGAGAAAGTAACAAAAAAACTAACGGAGGTATGACATTGGCACAAATTCGTAAGATGAGGTATGACATTGTCATTTTAAAAAGATGAGGTATGAAAGTGTCGTGAAACCAATAGTTGAGGTAGTTTTTTGTACTTTACCCAAATTTCTTTGATATGATCCTTTTCATGGAATTATTCAAAAAATCAAAGAAAGATATAGAAATGCAAGTGAAGTCTAAACTTCACCTTATATCGGATAAATTTTTAAGTTTAGGCTAAAATCGACATATATTGTTGATATTTCTGACACATCTGTTAAATATCGGAGAAACTCTTATATTTCGTCCAAACCAATCTTTGACAATCCCTAAAGTTTCATTTTAACTTTTCATTATTTCCATCGAAAGTAACCGATATTGATATCGATGTTCGCTATATCCGTTGATATTTCTATAAATTTGCATATTTATATATTCACCGATATCAATATCGATATTCGATATTTCCACAAATTTGCATATCGATATTTTAAACGTTGGGTATAAGTAAATTAATGGTCAAGTGGAGAGTTTCACACTGAATACTTCTTTGACAATTAAATGGGAATGATGGTGCAGTTTCCTAAATGCAAAACAAAGGCCACTAGTAGCTCAAAGTTGCTTACTTTTTCTGGAAAATAACAATTTAAAAAAGGCAATTAGCTAAGATGATGAAAAATTAAATTTTAATCGTCAAATTGATTAGGTGTCTTTATACACAATTTGTATCACCTTCATAGACTCACCACCCATCATATTGTTTAAGGTAATTAGTTCAGCACTTTGATTTATAGAATCATTAGAACATCCAATTTTCCTAAAGAAAAAAAGGTCAGCTAGATTTTCAAATTGTCCTTATGTGTTTGAATTGTTCACCATGGATTCATAGAAAGAAAAAAAAAACTACAAAAGATATTGGCACTTTAGCTGGTAACTATTCTACTTTATCCTTGCTTTTGATATTTGGCCACTGTAGATGTCTAGATTAATTACTAAAAAGTAAAAACTACTCATCATTGGATGTCTAATATTTGGCCCAATGTGTGACTCATCGACTTGTTCGCTTTGTTTTGTCTAATATATTAATTTGTTTAGTTTGAGATGCCTTCTGATATTAGCGAATGTTTCCAATCAATATGTGTGTGTATATATATCTTTCTTTCAGTTGTTTTATAATTTCATTATCTAAATGAAGTTTTTTTCCCGTACCGCGGAGGCTAAAAAGATAAACTAAGTGACATGCTTCTTTGGATTTTTTTTTTCTTTGTGGAAAACTAGAGTGGCAGACATGCAATGATATACTTTATATACACAATGTTACACATGATGTCCATTAATTCTTCTAAACCAATATAATATATAAGAGATAGGTTTCACATGATGTTCTATCTTCTACTACTACATATGCTTTGCTGGTCATAAACGTTTTCCAGGAATAACTATATATAATTAGGGTTTTATATTATATAGAGAACCCAGAAGCCATGCATAACATGCTAACAAAATTTAAGAAAGTCCATACATATGACCTGGATACCTACCTACAGCCTGTACTCTTGCCTCTTAATTTGTGATTGCAAATTAAATTAAATTTCAAGTCTATATAGTCAAACATGATGTATATGGTTGATTTTTGGAATTACATACAGCTAATTTACTAAAGTTCTGATATATTATTTTAGTCAAAATGATTTTAATTATATGAAGAAACAGTTCCCAAGAAAAAAAATATATGAAGAAACAACTAAATTTCCACTTTCCAATGTCAATATATTTGGAAAAAATTATATGAAGAAACAACTAAATTTCCATTTTCCAATGTTAATATACAATCAATGTCCTATCATTGTACACCATTTTATCTGCGTTACCAAGATATGAGAAACCTCGCCCGTACAGGGAAGCTTTATTACTTTCGGTGCTTAAATTATAGAAAGCATAAAGTCTGATTTCGACACCACTCATTATCTAAAAGAGCGTTCTGTATAATATTAAGACTAAAAATTATTCATGAATATAAAATTACTCAATAGAACCCATACACAACAACATTCATTATCTAAAGGGTAATGCTAACGAGACTAAATTTTGAAATAAATTTACAAACCAAATAATATGTCACCAATAGAAAATAAGCACGTTAATCAACGCTTAAGTAATAATCAAATCATCAACTCTCATATTATTTAGTTTGTAAATTTAGTTTCAAAAAAATAATCTCCGTAATATTATCCTCATCTAAAAGAGCATCCTAAATAATATCAAAACTATAAAATTACTAAATAAAACCCACACACAATAACGCGTATTAAGCTAATCTACGTGCTACCCCTTTGAACTAGACTTTAACCAACCATCTATTTAGTACCTTAAACCCATATGGACAAAGTAAACCTTTTAACCTACATTCTAGGCTCTAGACAGTCTAGATGCAATGTCAGAAATATCTCAAACGTCTGTGAAACTCCCCATGCTAGACATTTCTCAGGCAATATTGGACCCATCTTCTCTATCCTCTCTAGCTGAAGCCTTCAAAACATGGGGCTTCTTCCACATCACCAATCACGGGATCTCCAAAGATCTTTTCAGAAAACTATATTCTCTGTCGAATGACCTTTTCAGCCTCCCTTCTGATACCAAACTCAAACTTGGCCCTTTGTCTTCTGCCAAAACTTATACCCCTCACTTCATAGCCTCTCCCTTCTTTGAAAGCCTCAGAGTTTCTGGCCCCAGGTTCTTTGATTCTGCTCAAACTTCTGCGCATGTTCTCTTTGACCAACACAACTCTGAATTCAGGTATTATAACTGTATCTATATACTCTGTGTTTGTGTATGTATAACTATATAACTATATATATATATATTCTATAAAGATGTTTCTGTTTACCTTTTCTTTATGTAATTTCTCTTCATCCTAATTTTCTTGAGTTCGGAAAGAGAGTAGTAATTCAAAGTTAAAAAGCGCTCACTCCTGCATCCGAGGTCCTATGTTTGATTTTCCCTTGATGCAGTGTTGCTTGTATCGAAAGAAATTTTGCTTGAGGTTATAATTTTTATTTTATTTTATTTATTTCTTTCTACTAGTGAAATATTACAGGAATATGGGAGCAAGATGGCGGAACTATCAAAGAAAATCGTAAGGATTGCTTTGATGAGCTTGGGGGAAGGATTGGAGAAGAAACATTACGAATCTGAATTCAAAAAGTGCCATGGTTACTTGAGAGTGAACAACTACTCGACCCCTCCAGAAAGTTTGGAAGATCAACATCAAGAAGTTGGACTTGGAATGCACACTGACATGAGCTGTGTGACGATTGTGTACCAAGACGAAATCGGAGGGCTTCAAGTGAGATCAAAGGAGGGAAAGTGGATGGACATAACTCCATGTGAGGGGACCTTGGTGGTGAACATAGGAGACATGTTTCAAGCTTGGAGCAATGAGAATTTGAGGTCATCAGAACATAGAGTCATTTTAAAGCAGCCGAAAAATCGCTTTTCGATGGCCTTTTTTGGTGTTTCGAGGATGAGAAGGCGATTTTTGCACCAGAAGATGTGGTGGGAGAAGGTAATGAGAGGATCTACAAGCCATTTGTTTGCTTGGATTATTTGAAGTTCAGAGAGAGCAATGAGAGAGGGAAGTTTGAAAAAGTTGGGTTTACTGTGAGGGATTTTGCTGGGATTAATCACCAAATTACCAAAGGTGACAGTTAAAAACGAATTCAAAGTCTCTCTTGTAATAAATTTAGCAAAATTAGGAATTGTATTATATGATAATCTGGCTTTAAAATAGTAATGGTTGTGATTAAATTTGTATGTGCCAATGTGCTTGTGCTTATTAGCATTGTTTTTACACTAGTCCTTGTATTTTATCATTATTGTCCTTATTATAAGCATGTTTATTTTTCTACAATTGCAAACAATTATTCATTTCATCTTGGAAAATTTATGGAAAAATGTATTTTCATGTCATAGAGACATCTTACCTATTCTACTTGCTTGGTCATGTTTCACTCGATTTATATTCCTCGATTTCTTTCTATTTCCCGCCTGCCTCAAGTGATAAATGCTTCTGCCTAGCACTTTTTGTTTCCTTGAAGAATTAGATGAAATAATTATTTAATTTTGAACACGTGAAGATGGTGGGCAATTGGCAACTTGGCATTGCTTTGCCAACGCATTCCAAATAAAGTAATCCAACTCCAACTTACAATATTGAATGATGCAACTACTGTTGATTGGTGAACACTTTATCTTGAATTCTATGTCTGGAAATTGAAAGATATCCCAAAATTGTTATATATGTTGTGCTCAGAAGGTGTTAGAAATTCATGGGACATGGCCTTCCTTTCATCTAATTTTTTATGTCAATAAATACATGCAAATTGGAATGATGCTACACATGTTTCACGAAAATTCTATGGTGCTTCGGAAATGAAGAGAAAAACTTGATGTTGATTTGTCTCAAACATTTACAGTGGCAGCAACAGAAGCAAAAGAGAAAAACTTACTATATTAAAATCACATACGATACGAGACAAGTTATATTGGAATTTGGATGTTCCATTTGTCCATCACATTCACATGAACAAAGTTACTACTACTGAAGCTTATTATCCAATGACAAGGTTAAACAGTAAAACTGGGGAATGCATGTTACGAACCAGATCAAACTGCCCCAGTTACTGCTGCAGATTTTTTTTTTTCATCAAGCAGCTACATTACTCTTCCTGCGTAGAAATCCTACAACTACAACATTAGCTTTGTCCGGCTTCTCAGCACTTACCAGCAATTTTCCAAAGCACCTGCTTAATCATCCCCACTGGTGAAATCGCCGCTCCTCGAAACTGAAACCAACTCAGAAAGAGAACAGTTAATGTAGCAGCATCAGAATGTTTGAATATGAAAGCAAACCAACAAAAGAATTCAAATTGAATGGAGGACTTATTGACATTGGATTGACTAATAATACGGATGATTCAGGACGGGCATTTTAGATCACCGGATATGTTCTAGAGCCGGTTAGAATGCAACTACTAGTTCCATCAATCGTATTGTATTACACCAGAAGGCTCAGAAGTACAAACCTTTGATTTAAGGCTCAATGTGAGAACACCGTCAAGGATGGATGATTGGACCGAATGTGCATCTAAGTACAGATTGTTAATGGCATCCATTATATCAAGCAAGATATATTCCCGGTAAGGGCATCTCATCTCTATCAGAACCTCTTGCTCTTTTACACACACTTTCACATCTAGTGGCAAGCTTTCTCCGGAAACAAGCATATTGGGATATGGGTCAGTTTCGTCAATGTCACAGGCCTTTCTCTTCTTTACTAAAGACTTTTTCACATTGTTCTTCTTTGTTTTATCATAGTTATCTGATGTCTTCTCTACCCTGTTCAGGAATTTCCCTCTAGAAATAGCTTCCACGGTGTCCATGCAGGATTCCATCTCTTCTGCTCGTGCCTCAAGCTCTTTCAAGTACTTGATCGTATCATCAAGGATCGAAGCTTTATCAACCTGAAAAAGAAAATTCAGTAAATTCAAATTACGGAAAGTATGTTATTACAAAATAGTACATGACAGAACATGAAATTTTTAGTGAAAATAAATGTAAAGATGGTTTTCAACACAGGCATCTAAAGTTACCTCAGTGATAGAAGGAACCATTGACCTGAGGACCAACAATTTTGCGTTCTCTCTCATTTTATCATGTTCCCTGTTAATATCGTCACCTTGCAAATTTGGGAGCAAATCTTTTCCCGTATTTTCTTTACCGGTTGCCATAGGCGAGTGAACACCATACATTAAAGGAACAGTGAACAAAATCTTCTTTAATGTCTTCTGATGTACTGTTGGCCTACAACTACCAACAACTTCTTTCTTCCATTTCACAAAACTGGATTTGCTCTCTCCGTTGCAAAAACATGGATTTTCAATCAGCTTCATTGAGCTTCCTAGAAGAGTAGAAAGAGTTCTTTTGTAGTGTACATGTTCATCAACAGATCCAAGATACAAAGAACTTAGTTTTGTGTCATTGAAGTTTTGAAGTTCCTTTAAATGGATATGGTTCGCATTCTCGTGTTTAGCAAAAGAGTGAGCCTTTCCTTGATTAACAAAAGCTTCAGATATGGAGTCACTAGAATTCATGGAATCTTGAACGCCACTGCTGAAGTCTTCATCCATGAAATGCCAACTCTGAACCTGAGAAGCCACAGCATTGGTACCTTCAAGCATCATGGAGTCTTCTGTCGGATGATTGTGATCACAACCATTAGAACATTCATCAGAAGAGTCCATGTTGACCTCTTCATGGTTTCCGAGTAAACCATTAATTCCCCTCTGATCAAATTTGATTTCTTCCGAAGGGGAATATAGGTTCTCTAAAGGCAATGTATCAACTACGTCATGGTCAACCTTGGCAACTATTTGCTCTGAATCATCGTCTGGTTTGTGAGGGGCAGAGGAAGATTTCTCACAGCAATCAGGCTTTGAAAAATCTAGTAAGGAAGCCTTGATGTGTTGAATGAGATTAAGGTCCTCCGATACCTTTAGATATCACAGAAGGAGAAGAATTATTTAAACGAAGACAAATTAAAACTGTTAAAATAACTGGAAACCGAAAGTAATTTAACTCAAGAAGAGAAATTACCAGCTCAGTCACACCTAGCTCAACAACACCCCCCAGGTAGGGAAAGCAGACTACAGTCTGAAAAGCAAAAGCGTTGAAAAATATCACATTGATGGCGTTGTGAAGTAAACTAACAAATTAAACACAATGTGGAATGAACCAGAAGATGAATACCACGAAGGAATCACTATACCTGAACAGATGCACTCTGTGAGCAACCGTTGATATCCATCCATAGAAGAACAAGTTAACAGAGAAAACAAAAGCAGTCAGTCCAATTTGCATCTTTAATATTAAAAAATTTACAGGAGCTGAAATTAGCAGTAACTTTAAACAAATCACAACCAAGAAAAACCTACCTTCGCCAGCAAAGAGCGCGAGAAAACTTTACTATCCGTATGTTGAGCATTGCACAACCAAATGGTTTGGCCAGTTGCCAATGCTCTTCCTGGCAAACTATACACAAAGTGGAGAAATAAGTTACAAAATCATAATATGGAACGTATAAGCTGACATGAAATCTAGAAGCAAAAGAAAGGAAAACACATAAATACACGCAAACAGAAACATTAAGCAATAAAACAAGGGAACATTTTTTACACCAGTTGAAGAGATCAGTATAGTACCCTTCGCCAGGATTGAATATGAAGGACATGCAAAGCAAGTAATACCACTCGGCATCTGTGAGATCTTCCGGGGACAATACAGCAGAAGGCGCTTTAGCTTGCTGCTCAGTCTCAGTCTCACCTTCCAGAAGAGACTTATACAGCTCTCTGAGTTGCACATTCCTCTGTAAACCCATTTTATCGGTTTTAAGTTCCACACCTTCAACTTTTTTTCGGGTTTTGATGTCTCCATTGTAGTACCCCTCACCCCATTCCAGCACTCTACAAAAAAATGATCATAATTTAAAGCTAAACACGAAATGTCCTAAGCAACAATAACTGATACCTACCGAATAAAACCGAAAAAAGAAAAACTGCATCTAGGGATGCAGAGTTTATTAAATTTTCAGCCTACTTTCCAATTAAAAGAGGACATTTTCACTTTTCAAATTATAATTTTCCGGTTTTCCTTCCAAATTAATTTTTTCTTTCACTTTCAAAGGGATTTCAGCTCAAATAACTCGCTTTACCTGAGCGTAAGTTCATAAGCAACATCAGATTCATCTTAATTTCACCCATTTTTATACTGCAGAACTTCTTCATTTTACTTGCACATAATTATAAAAAAGCAAAACAAAATTGAAAATTGTTCATCACCTAGGAAATAAAATAAAAATAAATACTTGAAAAAAAAAAAAGAAAAAAAACACATTACCCTTGTTGTGTAGTTGACAATGACCAGAAAATTGCATAGCTCCACTTAATACTCCTCACAGCAACAGCAAACTGTTTTCTCAGATTCCCCGGCACCCTCTCATGATTCTGAGCCATTTTCCCCACAAATATAATTCAACTTACACAAGTAAAAAAACCCCCCACCAAGCTCAACAGCCAAGGAAAAACATGAAAATTTGGGTTTTTTCTTGGATTTTGGTTTCAGCTGAATGCTATTAGTGATTTCTGCAGAAAACCCATGATTTATATCAGAGTTTTGAGGGGGATTTCAGTGAAGTGCAGGCATATATTTTACAGTTCTTTGGAGACCAGAAATCCAGAAGGCTGCAAAGTTGAGCTATGGAGTTTATCTTGGTCTTATACTTTAGAAGCAAACTGTGCAGTACTACTGTGTTTGGTGGTGGTAAAGACGTGCACGGTGTGGGAGTTCTGCCTTTTTAAGCTTGAATTTTGCACAAGAATCTTCGTCTTGTTTTTTTTTTCAATTAAGTAATTCTTATTTCTGTGAAACAAAAAGAGTAATTTACTTGATTACAAACCCAACGTCACTTCTTAATGAGGTGTTTTTATTTTATTTTTTGAAAATATATTTTATTTATACAATCCACATACTATACTAAATTTTCCTCCTCAATATGCTTTGTAATGAATTTATAAAACGCATGCTTATGATCAGAACCGTTTATATTATAAATTACTTTAAAGATATTTTCTGAAAAAAAATCAATAAAATATGACATCATTTAATCATCGAGTTGTATAAAAACAAATGAACGACTACATTAAAGGCATTACGAATGATGACTGAACGACCTTATTTTCAATCAATTTGTATAGATGATCTTTACAGAGTGATTTATAATTTGAACTGTTCTGAGTATAAGCATGAACGTTCATCAATCTGTTACAAAGTATTTTAGGGAGAAAATC